TAACCCAAGGAACCTAAAGAACCCGAAATATAAGAATATAATTTTTATACAAGACTATATGTAAAATATTGTTAAATTAAGATTATTTATAGTATCATCATGGATTCATGGTATTTACCTAACTTTATTACTTTGACACGTTTATTTTTACAAAGTAAAAACATATAATAATTGAATTTTGGGTAAAGTACTAAGACACCTTCTGAGATTTGCCAAAGACTACCTGATGAAAGTTTGTCTATTTTTGGACAACCACACTCCCTTGTGAAATTTGCCATCAAACAGAGTCTTAAAACATATAAAAAGTCCATTTTACCCTTCACTATTTTATTATTTTTAATTATAAAATATCAAAATACTTAAATGGACAAATTACCCTTTTCATCTCTCTCTATATAGATATATATATACACACACAACCACACAACAGTCACCACCACTCTCAAGCCAGACCCGAAAGCTTCGTCCATGGCACCACCTCCACACCTTCTAACCACCGACCGTCGAGCGACTTACCATCTTCAATGGTAAATCTTCTTTATCATTTATTATAATTTAACCTCAAATCTCCACTACACAGATTCGAAGTTCCCCAAATACTAGTAAATCTTCTCAAACCAGAATAAACCAATCTTAATAAATCATCAAACTAGAACAAACCATTAATCTATAATGAGCAAAAATCAGATTAATACAATCAAAATCAAAAGAGAATCACTATATACAGAATATAAATAATAAGAGGACCAACAGAGAGAGAGAGAGAGAGAAAAAAAAACCTAACCTTGGAATAAGAACCAACCATAGGCGGACCTAGGGGTGGGCGAAGGTGGGCTTCAGCCCACCCCATAAAAAAATAATAAAAAAATTACTATTGGTAGCCCACCCCAAATTAGCCCAATCCAATATTAGCCCACCCCATTCTGAAATGCTGGATCCGCCCTTGGAACCAACCCTATATACTTTGCCCAATTCATAGTCATGGATGGTAAAATTCTCCTGTGGTGCCCTGAATGCAAAGCTCCTAGATCTCTGTACTTTCTCAACATTGGATGAATCATTCTGAATCTTAAGCTTTGAATCAAAATCCTTCTCCATGTTAACTGTTCCTCCTCTTTCACCCCCAACCACTGCGAACATTTCTCCCTCTAGAATTCCCTAAAATTTTATAAATGTATATATATAAGTTTATATATATATCACTCTCTCTCTCTCTTAAAATAAGCACTAATTTAGAGTTGCAAGCCTTCATCCTCCGAATTCCTTTCCCTTGCTTGTCACCGTGATAAATTGATGATGATGATGCGGCAGTGGGGCTGATTTGTGGTGGTGATCATGATATCTGTGTGCGCGTGTGTCTATACAGACAATATATATATATATATATATATATATATATATATATATATATATATATATATTAGTTGTTTAGGTTAGGGTCTGAGAGAGGGGAAAGAGAAGAATAGTGTAAGGATAGAAAAAAATTGGGTTTATCATATGGGTTTTACCCAATAACCCATTTAAACTAATTTGATTCAAGGGTATTTAAATAATTTTATTTGTTAATTTTGTATCAAAGGGTAATAAAGTCAATTCACCATTGTCAAGGTATCTTTGTCCATTTTACCAAACTTGAGGAGGTGTGATTGTCCTAAAATAGGACAACTTTCATCTACTTATCCTTATGCCAAACCTAGGGGTGTTGGTGTACTTTACCCTTGAATTTTAGTTAAGGAAACAAAAGAATATCAACTATTGAGTTCTTTCTAAATTTTTATTATGAGAACTTTTTGAACCATGTCAGCTGTCTTGAAATTTGGAATGATTGATATATCTTTGATTAGAAATTAGAAATTATTGCTATAACATCATATTACACATAACATCATATTACACATAATTTGGGGTTTTTTTTTTTTTTTTTCACATTATATGAGACATTTTATTTTATGTCAAGTTTATGTTGCTATATACACTTCAACATTTTATTTCTTACAAATTTATTTATTTATAGGTTATTAAAATATTTTATTTCTTACAAATTTATTTATTTATAAGTTATTAAAATATGAGACGACCCGAGAACCAGAAAAACCCTTGAAACCTGAGCGGTATGATGCGGGTTGAGATACAATGGATTTTTTGGTATTTGAGCTTGCAGCAGGTTAAGATGTTAGAAACCTGAGTTTGGCTAGCCCCTTAGCCCACCTAACTTGCCCAAGCCCCACCCCTATCTCGTATGCTAAGTATTATTAACACAATGGCCAGTACGTGGTTCAATACTTCAGGATTTGGATAGGTCACACAAATGAGCTCACCCCTAAACCTCTATATAATTTTTGCATTACATAAATAAAACGCGCCCACACGCGCACATTAATATCATGAAAAATGAAAATGAAATTTTCTTGGAGAAAATAAAAAATAATTATTAACTTAAGGCACATCTGCAAAAGATGTATGAAAAATACATGTTTGTGCATGTGAATAAATAATACATAAAGAAGGTCAGACTTTGAATAAACTTAAAAAAAAAAAAGTTGAATTAACAAGTGATTTGAAAAATGGAAGAATCAAACTATAAGGGATACAAGAAACCTGCCTACGAGATGAGTGCCACAACAGAGCATCTTAACTATCTATTTTCCTGGATCATAAATCAACATTTTGTTCTTTGATTTTTGCACCACCATTCCTCCTGGAATATAAAGGCATTGTTGTAATTGTCCACAAAAAAAGAAGGTATGGTACGTAATCAATAAAATCCAACATTCTGGCGCACCATACTCTTTCATTGCATATACATTCTATACCCTAGTGACACATCACAGAATACGTTGCATTCAAAACCCCCAAGTCAAGTCAAATGGCCTAATTGGTAAAGTGTCCAGCTCCCAAGCGGGTATAACTGTGTTTGAGTTCCCCTCCCTATAGTTTGCCAGATAAAAATAAAAAATAAAAAAGAACAAAACACGATTACCCAAAATTCGGTAGCATAACCTCTTTGAATTCCTCTCTTTGCTAGATCAAGAGAAGCAATGCCTGGCTTAAAAGAGACCCCCATTGGCCTTGTACAGCTCCTTAGAACTATGATGGACCTGATAGGACGAAAGTCTTTACAAAGGTCCCTTTTGCTTGGAATATATTGTTTCAAGGGAAGTCTTGAATTCTTTTCCAATAATTTGTTTTTTTTAAGTATAGACCTCAACTTTGTATCTTCTGGTGTCCTTCTGTCTACTAATCCTATAGCTTTCACCTCTAACCTCAACTTAAACACTGATAGTAGTTGATAATATAATTTTTGATAAACTAGAATAAGAATTGTAATTATAATTGAACTAGACTTGAGATTACATTTTTCAAAACAATGATAATCCTTCACAACAGTGGCAAATGGAAAATTCAAAAAAAAAAAAAAAAAATAAAAATAAATTTACTCATTTACATCAACAAGAAATAAAAAATTAAAAGAGGTCAATAAGAAACACTTACTCTTTTTTCAACATACCAACCAAATAGGTGAGAAAATGCTTTATTTTTATTGTTGTCGTAGCTGGTCTCTGTCCTCATTCTTTGCTCGATCACCTATGGTCTCTGTCCTCATTGTTTGCTCTATCACATATGGTGACTCTAAACTCTCCACATAATAAGTAGTTGATTCAATACCAGATTTGGTGTCTATGAGCTCCTTAAATGTATTTTTTCTTGGATAATACATCAACAGTTTGTCATCTCTCAGTTGCAACACGAGTTCACCATTCTTCATCAAATAAAAGGGCATCTTTACCCTTGTCTACACAAAAGAAGGTATTGTGATCAATATAATCCAAGATGTTGGCACACCGTATTCTTTCATGGCATACACTTCACATATAATCCAAGAGTTGTTATGCATCGCACAAAGCATTCCATTCAAAGTCCCCAATTCAAGCGAGACCGATTGTAGCTCAAATTCCGGAAGCAAAATCTCTCTGAATTCCTCCTTTGCTAAATCAAGAGAAGCAACGATAGCACGAAAATTGCTATGACGAATGGCTAACCAATGCAAAGATCCATTAATAAAAGTCCCTCTTTCTTGGAACAGACAATAGTAAGGCAAGTCTTGAATTCTTTTCCAAGAATTTGTTTTCCACGTATAGACCTCAACTTTGGATTTGTTGCCATGTCAAAAAGCGTGATTGTTTTCACCTCTAATGACCTTATAGTTATAGTATCCATCAATAACCTTGTCATACCCAAACCCATAAAACATACCATACCTTACGAAGTAATATGAAGGTGGTGGTGGTAGTTGCTTACATTGTCTCGTAGAAGGGTTCCACAGAAAGAGGGAATAATCAGCAAGCAAACACAACAAGCCATTACAAGAGCCCGTGATGAAATGAGCAGTCATGTTCCATGGGAAGTCACAGTCGTTGGTCACAACAAAATCTCCCCGTGCTTCCAAGTCCATAGACATGAGAGATCCGAAGGATGACACAATGAGTCGACGGCGAGCGTAGTCTAAGTGGTTCTTGAGAAAGTTCGAACCGGTTAATAAGTTTTTTTTTTTTTGGTTAAAAGGGTAAGCTTTATAAATAAGAAATATGTACAACAAAGCAACCAAAGAAGGAGAACTTCCATGGCTTAGAACACTACAAAACACCAACATGTTACATAGTGTATGGAACTATTACTAATCTGAGCCTATCAAGAGTTGTGACCGACGAAAGCAGTCATTGTTGCAGTAGAAACCATGTTTGACCTCTTCCATACGCACAGCCTTGTATGAAGAGTTGTTGCATAGCTTCTACATTGCCAATCTTACTCAATTCAGCAGCATTTCTTAACTTGAGAGAAGCAAATCTAGCTCTGATGCATATGAGATTAATGATTTGGTAGGTTGTTGCAGACTTGTTCCTGAAGGCTCTTGAATTTCTCTCCTGCCAAATGAAGTATATGGCACAAGAAAGGAGGAGCTTGTGAGTGATGAAGTGCTGTTGTGTCCATGTTGATGAGCACTAAGCAATCAGGTCTCTCCATGAGTCTGGTTTGATGTAGAAGCCTGCAGCATGCTGTACAAAATCCCAAATGGTACAACTGAATTTACACTTGAAAAATAAATGATCTACAGTTTCACAATCAGCAAGGCACAAGTAGCATGCATTTGTATAGTGCTTCTTCATCATTGGCTTTGTGTCCAGTGTTGCTAACCTTTCTTTCAATGCTAACCATGTAATATAAGCATGCTTGGGAATATGATGTTTGAACCATATTAGGTGAGTCCAAGCAAAGACAAAAGAGGGAGGAGAGAAGTACTCCAAAGTGAGCCTGTGAGAATACTCCTTTGTCAAACTGGGGAGCCAATGGATTTGATCCTCATCAGTTGTTGGTGTAGGGATAGATTGTAGCTGGGAGTTGAATTCCTGTGATTGAAAGAAAGGAATTTGCACAAGAGAAGGTGGAATCACCCACTGATCATTGGAAATTAGGCTATCAACTTTGACTTGGGGGTCCAGTTGAAGAATTTCCAATTCAGTTAGGTTGAGCTGCTGTACAATAGGGCCATTTTGTTCCATTCTCTGCAAACACACCTGCATTGAGCTAGAGACTTCACGGGTAGTAGCAACAGAATGTAGTAGATGATGTCGTTGGGGAGGATGGGTTGTGGTGGTGGGGTGGAAGTTTCATGAACCACTTTGCTACACGTCCAAGTCCACAGAGGCCATGGCTTTTGGCTGTACTTCGCATCCTACTACTACTTTCTTGTTGTTCTTGTGGGTGTGATGGAGATTAGGGTTGATTAAGAAAGTCCCAAGTCACGGAGTGATATTCATACTCTCCTCATCCTACGTAAACAGGGAACTGGAAATTTTTGATTTGAGTTGTTGATAATGTAAAAACTTTGAAGATAAGCAACCATAAATTGCATACCTATCAACAGATATATGTATTTATTAGAAGGATGGTGAAATGTAAATTGAATATATGTGAAGTGTTCAGTGTGAGTTTACTCAATCAAAATATAATTATAAAAAATTTTAAATGAATTGTGTAAATCAAGGTTTTTATTTATGAAAAAGAGATCACCCATTCATCATTTAAAAAAAAAAAATTGTAACTTTCAATTTTAATTATTTGAAGATCCTGAAAATATATAGGCATAATTGAATTTAAATTATTGAGTTATATTAGGCATCGATTCTATAATAATAAGTTTTGTTTATTTATTTATTTATTTATTTATTTTTATATATTACGATCTTTCCTATATTAAAAAATTTGCAAGACAAAATACATCCTTTATTTATTTACTTTTAATCAAATGCTATTATAAAAGAAAGAGAACTTTACTGAGGATGCAAAGCCAAATATATATATATAAACTGAAGGACCTAAAAGCAAATAGCAACCCATAAAACAAAATGGCCACTCAATCTAAATTATTTACTTAAGTTATGACTAGGCCACAAGCCCTTCATCAGTGAGAGATATTTGCATTTATCATCATTATATATACAAAAATTAAAATTAAAATTAAAATAATAAATAACAAATAGAAATGACAATTAAAATTAAAAATTTTGGAGGGTAAATTGAAAAATGCTTCCCTGCTATATATAAAGAATGCGCAATTGCCCCTCGTGTTAAAATGCTCCCTGATATATAAATAAGGACAATTCTTCAGAAGATTGGAATACCTAAAATTTTGAGAAAATAACAATAAAAATTAAAAAATCAAAAAAATTATTTATTTATTTATTAAGAAAAGAAACATTTAAATTTCCTTAAGAGTATTTTAAAATTTTTATTAAAAAAAAAAAATTGGTCAAAATTGACGATGATTGAGCAATTTTTACAAACTTGTTGATTTGTTAATGGAATTAGAAAAAGAGAGGAGAAAAGAAATATGCTGATGTGACTGTGTAAAATATATAACAATTTTACATATTGGTGACTTGGCAGTGTATCTTAACCGAAGGCGGGAGATTAAATTTTTTTTTTTACATATTACGTGACAATATATATTTTACAAAAAAAAGTATTTTAACAAACCTAAGTCACACAATTCATCCAAAGATGCCCTGCTCTCAAGCTCCGCATGCGAATTTGTGATTTGGGAGTGAATTCGCACAAAATTCGCGAATTCAATTTTTGCAATTTGTGAATTTGTTTTCCTAATTCGCGATTTCCATACCAATTTACTTTATATAGTTAAATTTATTAGAGTCCATATGGAACACCCATATTACCATATATACATTTATTAGTTATACTATTACTCAATATATACATTAATTACTTAAATTTCAGTGTGTGTTTGAAAATATACTACTAAAAAATTTCTCAATTAGTGAATATTACAAATAAATGAAGCATATTTTAGCGAAAAAAAGTTAGCTTATTTATTACATATATCATTAATGGAATAAATAATCATGAATATATTTGTATATAGATTTTAAAAAATCACGCATATAATTTTATTTAAACCTAATATACAGACGCTCTTAATACGTTCCCGCTCTAAAAAAATTTAGGCTTTGACGCTTAGTGGTCTATCTACGAGAAAAGGCAAAAAAGGATTTCCATTGACCCGACTAGGAACTAGCTAAAAGAGAGAGTTCGATAGCCATATACTTCACTTTCGATAGGGAACATCGTGACGGCAGCTCGCTCGACAAGCGTGACCACCCCCAGTTCGGCTGTCTGTAATGTTCGGAAATTTGAGGTGATAGGTTGACGCTTCCCTGTTCATGCCGTAGTAAGCAGGTCAGGTCGCACCCGCTCTCGCTCCCGCTCTGTGTGACTTAGTAACAGATTGTTGGAGATGCTTTATAAGTAATCACAAAATACCAAATCAAAATACAATTATAAAATTTTTTAAATGAATTGTGCAAATTAGGTTTGTTATTTAATTATGAGAAAGAGATCACTCATTAATCATAAAAAAATTGAAACTTCCAATTTTAATTTTTTGAAGATCTAGAAGATATATAGGCATAATTGAATTCAAATTTTTTATATTAAGATCTTTCCTATATTAAAAACTTGCTTTTATAATAAACAAAGTAGACAAATAAACATATATAAAAATCACAAATCTAAATTCGTAAAGTATAATATTTTCCTTTAGAGCATATAAATAAAGGACAGAGAAGGAGAGTTTGACTGCGACAAATTTGCTCTTGTAATGGCTTGTTGTGTGTGTTTGTTGATCATAAATACCTCTTTCTATGGAACCCTACCACGAGAGTATATAAGCAAGTACCACCACCTCCAAGTTGGTTAGAAATACCTACATATCATCCATTGTTTTATGGGTTTGGGCATAACATGTCCATTGATGGATGCTATAACTATCAGGTGGTTATAGGTGGATATGGCATCAAAGGTTCCAAATTAGTTGAGGTATGGGTTTTGAACGGAATGCATTGTATGATGTGTTCCAGCAGTAGGGGATGGGAGATATGTGCCATGAAAGAATATGGTGTGCCAGAATCTTGGATTGTATTGATCACCATACCTTCTTACGGTATGTGGACAACTGTGAAGGTGTCGGGCCCCTTTTATTGGATGAATAATGGTGAACTTGTGATGCAACTAAAAGATGACGAAATGATGGTGTATGATCCTAGAAAAAATACATTTGAGATGCTCATAGACGCCAAATCGCCGATTAAATCAACTACTTATGTGGAGAGTATAGAATCACCATAAACGAGCAAAGGATGAAGACAACGTCTGGCTAGCTACAACAACAATAAAGATAGTATTTTCTCACCTGTTTGGTTGGTTACTTGAATCCTATTTTTACCATCTTCTCTATCCAAGGCCATAGAAAATCAATCCACATCATCTTGAAAAGAGTAGGAGTTTCTTATTGATCGCTTATTAACTTTTTTTATTTCTTGTCGTGTGAATTGAGAAATTTGATTTGTTTTAGAATTTGTTACCATTGTGAAGAATTATTTTTGTTTTGAAAAATATGATCTCAAAGTCTAGTTCAATTTTAGCTACAATTCTTGTTCTTCTTTATCAATAATTAAATAATTAAATTATCAACTACTGTAATTGATCATCAAGTTTAATCTTTAAGGAGCTGTGGTTTATGGTGCTAGGCTTCATGTACGTTTATGTGCAATCTTCTCTTTGGAAAAGAAACCATGGAATTACGTTTCAAATCTTCTCTTTGGAAAAGAAACCATGGAATTACGTTTCAAAAGACGTAACATTACTCTCACAAGAAGTACCAAGTAAGTACTATTGCATACTGCTCTTACTTGCCAAGAGGCTTCGTCAACACTCAAAGAACAATTTATGTTAAGTGAACAGTCCCAAAGTCCTCTGATTAATTGTATAAACCACAAACACAAAGACCACATATGGTTTTTATTTGCACTATGATTGGTTCAAAATTATTTATTTTTAAATTGAAGTAAATTTTTTTTTCTTCAAGATAATAAGTGTTAGAACAAGATATAAAGATTAGAGAGTCCAACTCCAAGTCTTGTACTCTAATATGGAGTGAGATTAAAATGGTTATATGAACAATGGGTTTTGAACATCTATGGGCAATCAAAAGGTGGCTTTAATTTTTTCTTTTTTTTTTTTGGCTCAAATTTCAAGATCTTTTGTGTACAAAAGAAGTACCATTATACTTGTTCTTCTTTCCCTGTTCCTAGATTTCTCTAACTTTACGACTCTTTAGAGCAATTAATCTAGAACTTTACGAGATTGAAAAACCAAACTGTAAAATGATTGTCCCTATTTTTTTTTTTTTTTTTTTTTTTTTTTTTTTTTGTGATTAAATTTGATGTGTCATGGTAAATCTGTAAAAAAAATTTGTATTAATTATTTTTAGCTCCAGCCATTATTTCATACCTATTTGTCAATAACAACCAAACACAGTAAGAATGAGGGAGAAGAGAAAAAATATGTTGATGTAAATGTATAAAAAGATTGTACAAAATACACAAGAATTTTACGTATTGATGAGATGTCAATGTAGCTTAGCATACTCAACATAAAAAAAGTTTTACACATGGTATATATATATATATATATATATATATTTTTTTTTTCAAAAAAGTTTTTTAACACATTGCCAGCCCTCCCCTACTCCGATAAACAAAGTACCGAATTAAACAAAGTACCGAATTCGCTCCCGCGTACTACATTTAATTACGGGGCAGGAGCGGGATGGATTATGTCATTTTTATTATGTAGTAAAAAACATATATAATTAGCAAATGAGAGAACTTTAAAAAAACAAGAAAAAAAAAAAAAAAGAAGACGACTTTGATTCAAGAAGGGAAATTTATTTTAACTAAAAAAAAAAGGGAAATTTACCTTATTTTTTAAGAAAATTAAAAGAATTTAAAGAGTAAATTAATGAGAAATTTAGAGATAATTTTAGAAACTAAAACTTTTAGGGAGGCACTATGGAGAATGTTATACTTCACGAAAATTTTATCTTAAATTAGATGGCTGCTTAGTTGTCAAATTATTTAGTTGTTTTGTATGTTTTAAAAATAATTTTTTTAAGAGGACTACTAACTGTTGAAGGACAGTAGCA